TTCGCGCTCGATCCTGCAGCTCTTTCAGTACCACACCTGATATGAGCACTATCACGTACCACTAGCCACTCGATCCAGTCTTTGGGCAGACCTGGCGAGCCTACACGTACAAGTTCCCAGTTCTCATCCAATTGTTCTTGGGCTTGCAACCAGTAGCGCGAGTCCGTGAACAAGAAGGCGTGATTCGGTGTGACGATGGCCTGGCCGGATGAGCCGGAGAATCTGCCACACGTCGGATATTAGATCCGACCTCCGTAGAAGCAAGGCGCACTCACCCAGATATGTACTCGCGACGCTTATCGGTTGCAGCAACGTATTCGGACTGATGGGAGTCTTCGCTTGGAATGATACTGTGGGGCAATCAGCAACGAGCCGTGGAGCTGAGGGTCGGGCGCACTAGTAATCCAAGCTGTCCTTCGTCATGATTTTGCGCAGATCGTCGAGACGTACACGCGTGTCCGCCCTCTCTATGCTCGGCTCAACGTCATTGATCTTGCGTTCCAGCGCAGACCCAACGAGCGTGTTTTGCGAGTCATTCCGCACGAGGGATGACGGGACACCGCCTTGAGTTCCCGATCCGCCCGATCCACGGGCCCCAGTACTCCGCTGGCTCGTCTGTGGGCTGGGAGTAGAGCTTTTGCCGGTGGGCTGGGTGTAGCTGCGACTGCGTCCAGAAGAGGGTCTCGTTTCCCCAGACACCCTCGTCTCATCTGACTCACGGGTCTTGTGGGAACTCCGTGATTCTCGTGTGCCCGGGATTCTTTCGATCGCCGTGAGTCTTTGGTATCGCGGGAAGACCTTGTTTCACGGCTATTCCGCGAGTCCATGCGGGCCGGAGGGACTGGGGGGTCGTATAGCGGTACACCGCGCGGGGCGCCACCATTTGAGGGCAGTTTTTCCGACATGGGTGGTTGGCCTGGGAAAGCGACGACCAGGTCCTTCTGGTTGTCCTTCTCCTTCTTCTTCCCTCCTAAAAAGCCCCACTTGCTGCCCGAGGATGGCTCCTTGGGAGGTTTGGTTCCTGCCATGGTGTTGGCTCGCACCATCCGCGGACCCTTTTTGCCAAGCTGCCAATCCGGATGCTCGCTTCCCCGCACTGTCCCATAGTCCTCCGAGTCCGTCTTGAAGCTCAGAGAGTCCGTTCTCGTCAAAGAGGATGTGCTGGAGTAGGTGTTCGGCCGGTACTTTTCGTCGTAGCTTGAGGGAGGCAGGCCCGTGCTGTACGATCCAGCGACACTCGTAACGTCGTCGCTAGTGAGACGGCGTTTAGGCTTATTTGAGCCAAAGGGAAAACACAAGGGAGGTGGCGGAGGTGGGGGTGGAGGTGGTGGCGACATGATGGTGGGTGAGCAACCACGGCGGCGAGACCTGACCAGCCAGCACGTTTTCCACGAAGATTACCTGATGGGGTTAAAGCGTGTGACCATTGATTGATGTGACTCGTTTTACTGAGTCTTGCGTCGCCGCATAACCCAAACCTTGCAGGCGAAACAGTGGGACAATCGATGAGGTTGGAGTCACCCCTGTGGAGAGTCCCCTCGGTTGCTGTGGAGCATTAGTCGCAACCCGGAGGGGGCCTAGGGAAGACTTCGCGAATAGTTCCGAAGATTCTAGAGATAGCAGAATTTGTGGCAGGTTGTCACCAGACCATGTCGCCATGATCCGACAGGCGATAATAAGGTTGCATACGCAAGTGAATACGCAATGCATCGAGCGCGTGGACGCCAGCTCAGCTCGACAAAGCCTCGCCCAGACCATGCTCAGCAGCTGCCGTAGATTCCAGAATACCATTCCAGTTGATGAGTCATGTCCGACCCTTTCTAGAACACAGACCTGCGGCCGGTGCCAATTTCACTCAATGGCCGAGTTCGAGGTCCGCAGCCACAAAAAAAGGAGGCTTGCCTGCAGGTCACCCAAGACTTCATACATGCAGACTCCTCAAGCAGGCTGAGGACAGAGGTTGAGCTTGTCCGGTACGAGAGTCCGAGGGCTCATGTTTTCTGAGAAGCAGCATGTTTTCTAACCTGCGCGCAATGGGACTATCGCTCCGCAAAGCCCTGCAACTGGGAAGTCTCCCCAAGACGACTCCATACTGGAATCTTCTCGTCACCTGGGACTTCTGGTTACAAGATTAGGAAAACGGTCTCCTACCAGGATGATGAGAAGAGTGCGCTTGCGACCAGGTGGTCTGAAGTGAGGAGATGTGTCACAAACGCACAACATACTTAGGGGCTCCGGAAGTATCCGAACCTGTATTCGGTGCACGTGCCGTGCCTCCTGTATATCACAAACTACAACATAAGCGCATTAATTACAAGTCACACAGATATTCCGAGCTCAGTGCGGGCGACTACGTCAAACCCGATTGCGCAATGTGCTTGCGCATGATCACGTCTTGCACTGAGTATGACCCACATGAACTGTCGATCTAGAAGCATGGACGGAGCAAGAACTTACCGCTGGCAATAATGATCTGCGAGGCTTGTACGTCCTGAGTTGGCAGATAGTGAATATTTGACTCTTCCCGGCGGGACTCGATTAGCTTACCACCAAGGAAGTAAGATGCTGCAACAGCGAAAAGATCTCAGATGATCCGGAACCGAGGCTAAGATGAAGGGACCCACGACATATAAGCTGCGATTGAAAGGATCTTTCCGCTTATGAGCGGTCAGGAAGTGAGACCGGAAGTAATCGGCCGCGGCCGAGAAATTATTCGGTCGATTCCCGTAACTTATTATGCTAATTCGGATTAGTGTGGGCAAGGAAGGAAAAGAGGAACAGCGCACTAGTCCCGAATTTGCAGCCCAGATTCCAGTTTGCGGCGCAATAAGTCGATCTATCCACAAATAAGACCATCATTACCAGGAATGGGGAAATATACGCACCTTGTTCAGAAGTAGAACTAATTGCGCATTCTTCAGAAGTTTGTTCGCACAAATCGCCGTCACTAGTTCCAAGGAGTCGTGGATACGGTTAGTGAGGGGATCTTCCTCAAGGTACTAGATATGCGGATGTTGGTCTAATGAATGCCTTTTAATCCGAGTCAAATTGCCGCACCTGGTCAAATGCAGAGATTGGAACCAGTATTGCCAATGCATTTACTATCAAAATGCACATTAGCTTTCAGATATGGGAAAGATCCAGCCGCGTCACCGTCGTCGAAATAGGCTGACCATGCGGGTCGCTGTTGATAGTTTACATTTCAGTTAAGGTGAAAGAGTCCAATTACAACCAAGATACCTGTGCCCGCTGACAAATTATCAATGGGCGAACTAATATGCCGAAATGGGAGAGCTGACTGTACCGCCGACATCATAGATCTTCCAGATATTCGATCTACCCACTCGGAGAACGTGTTCAATAACGCCAACTGTCTGAAGTCGGACATGCAGAACATCATCTAATGCGATGCGTGAGCAATAAGCACTTGAATAGACACGGGACTGACCGATCGTGGGGCAGTAATCTGACTGAGATACTCGACTGATTTCTTGTAAAAAGCTGAGAAAACATTGATTTGTGCGCACCGACAGAGAGAAAAAAGTTTTGACGTACAAATGTCCGGATTCCTCCAAGCGCAGCTTGCGAACACGAATCATATACTGCACCGTACGGTGATGCCATAAAAGCTCTAACAGAGTGCCCAGCTCTGACAGGACTTGCGCCACCCTATTGGTCGCCAACACAGCTCGGCTCGAGTCTCGCAAAGCCGAGATGGGACGACTGCTCGACCTCCTGCCCTTGGGAGACAACAAGAGTGTCCCGTGGCGGTTCGGTGTGAACGCGACATCCTCGCTGAGCTCTGACGACAGCGAGCTCTCGAGCGAGATCAGGGGGAGGAGCTTCCTTCGAAGTACGTTCAGTTCATTTTGGGCTGCGACGTCTGTCGGTCCCGAGCCGTCAGACGGGAGGGGGTATTCTTCCGCGGCCGCTGAGAATTCGAAGTCGAGCTCCTCGAAAATCATCCGGACCGCTTTGATTAGATTCGCGTACACGACGATGCGCCAGGCGGGGCGCTCGGCGTCCAGGATATGAGATGCGTGGTAGAGCTGCAGTTGTTTCTGGAGTGTCGACTTGCCTATGATCCCGTCAATTCACGTCATCTACCATCAAGTCCGAGATGTGCACCAACCAGATTCTGCCTGTCCCAGGAGAACAACTAGGAACATTCAGGTCAATCGTGTCAAAAGACCCACCAGAATAGCGTCCGCACCTTTGACCTCGCGGAGTCTCTCCCCTTGCCTTCTCACAGCGTCTCTCTGTAGTCATATTTGGCCCGGGAACGGGAGAGATCAAGAGTCGCCGCTGACCTTGATTTCCTCGTCGATCAAATTGCTGGTGTGCTGAGCGTCCGGGGCTGAAGACAACGAGCTGCTAGTACTGGAAGAGAAGCTGGGCAAGTAATATCGGAAGGAACCCAGCGCCTGGTGGGAGGGGCGACGAGCCAGCCTTGGTCCTCGGCCGGGAAGTCTGGACATGGGAGCGAAGAGGAGAGGCCGTTCGTGTCGCAATGACGTTCCGAATTAAGTATGAAATACCGGGTGGGGCTGCGTGCCGTACTGGGGAAAGAAGTGTCCCGAATCATCAAGTTGAATCTTACGTTCAAAAAGGCGCTTAAAAGACACCAAAATATAGGGGCTGATTAGCATTATCCACGCGTGTTCCATCGGCTTCCCTTTCGGAGGATCGCAGGTTATGCCCTTTTCCTATCCACCCAGGAAGAGGCGATGCTCGAGCGCGCCGCCGCCGTACGTGTCTTTTCCATGTCGCTACTCAACAGCCCTGGGAGAAAGATGTCCGCTGATGACGTTGAAAGCCTCCGTAAATTGTCCCGCGTCCTCATGGTAAAGATGGAAATGAAGAAGGCGAGGGAATGAAGGTCGTAATCTCACGAACGCATCCGATCTTTCTGGTAGTTAGGCAGGGAAGACACAAGGGACTCCCTTATTTGCTCATGCTTGTACACGTGCTAATCACGCGTATCTCACGTGAACTGTAACTGGCTTCTGGCTCGCGTTTACTCCCTGCATTGGAGCCTAGGGACACAGGACTGGCTACGTGGAAACTGGTATATATGCGTTCTCGAGTACTCAGTAGCAACGACTAAACCGAGGCCGCGACAGCGGCGCTGATGACGATAAAGATGCCCGCAGCAGGTATGACATTCCGACTGGCAGCACCAGTGGACGACGGGGCGGGCAGGGAGAACGACCGAGATGCCGGAGGAGAAGTGGAGACACCCGAGGTGGAAGAACCTCTGTAGATAGAACATGAGCGACCGATCACGGTCACCTGCATCCATTACTTACGTCTGAGACAGGCTGATGCTTGTGCTGGTCGTCGTCGTCAACGGCTGGATGAAGGTGCTGGAGGTCACGGCCATGCTTGTCTTGGTCAGAGTGCTGGTTTTAGTCGTTGAAGTGCTGGCACTCTTCTTTGAATGTGACTGCGAGGAAGTGGGATGAGAACCGGAGACGGTAGATTTGGACGACGCGCTACTAGAGCTCGCTAAGCACGACGCGTCGCCTGCTTTGGTGTCAATGCCCATTCATACGCTGCCTTGAGAACACGCACCGGCTGCGATGTCGAATGGGCCAGAAGCTTGATTCGAGCCGGTACTGTCCTTGATGAGAAGCTGACACGCCGTCCCTGAGCACATGTTGTCGTGGGATCCTCCGCTTTACAGGAAGAAAGCACGCACCGGCAGGTTCTAGTACTTTCCAGGTTAAAGATGTGTTGACGAGCTGCCCGAAATTAACGAGGACGGTCTGATCATCGGTTTTCACGAGTCTCTCATGAGGATGAGTTGTGAAGCACGATGCTTGACTTGGAGTAGACGTACAACTGAGATGGGTAAAATAAACCTCCATCCGTTCTCACTGTCATTTAAAAGCACGCACGATGAAATACGGAGCTTCGGAGACATCGCATCAGCGAACGTATTGTGTGCGATAACAACGAGACTTACCTATTCCTCCACCCCATGTCAGCAAAGACGGCTGACAAACGGCTACCGAAGCTCAAGCACAAGAATACAACGAGCAAGAACAAAGCGACAGACTGGGCGTAGGACTTTCAATCGTTTGTGAGCCTCTTGATTTACGACCAGGTGAGAGTCGAGCTACTTACAAAGGCGTGTTGATGATCAATTCAGTTTGACCCAGAGCGACGTTGAAGAACGTAGCCAGGGCAAAAAGCGAGGCAAGCATGGTTGTAGACCGTGCGGCAAACTAGCCAGTGGAGAGAAGGAAGAAGCAGGGTCTGTGTTGGGGCCGATGGTAAGTAGATATTCCCCGCCAAGATCCCACACATTTCGCACTCAATCTCCGCAAATCTCGCTCATTTCCACAGGTCGGGTTAGAATCGGAGTTCGTAGTCTCCATCCAGCTTTGGGCCCTGCGCACGGTTTTGGCGCTGTCCTGGGCTTTGAATTGGACGGCGTGCCGCTTGTATACCACAAACGGTAGTCTGAAGCGAGTAGCTGGCCAGTATAGGTTGTTTTCGTGTTCCCAGAGAATCAAGATTTGGCCGCTCAATCGACGAATACACCGAGCAAAGAGGCGGAGACTCGGATGAGCAAGCTCGGCCATCTAACACGTGTTTGCGTCTCAGTCGGCTTGGTTAAATTGAAGCCAAACATTCCTTCGAGGACTGCGGAACTGATATATCAACGGAGGCGCCAAAAGGTGAGTGCATGCTCACCGCATCTTTAGTCTGTGGAACCCTGATATTTGGCCCGGGGAGGGCTAGACAGTCTCTCAAACTCCCATGTGCATTCGCACAACCCACATGATGCTTCAATTGGCCGCAAACTTGAAGGCTGAGGAAATCAGCCACTGTACATATGAAGCAAAGGCGGGTTTGCATTAATCGACACGGGCGTATGCTGAATGGCGGTGCTGTGCCAGACGTGACCGCTGTGTGACTTGACGCGTTGCCAATCTTGCATGTTTCTATCGCGTACCGGTACGGGACAGTTCGTCACGCATCGCATTCCCCACAAACGGTGCGGGCTACGGTCCTCCATCCTTTTTCGAGCGTACTTCCGCTATCGACATCCTGGCCTCCACTCCGCAATACGGATAGCGAGAACGTCACAGCGATGCCATCAGCGTACAGAAACCGGGTTTCTTGTTATCCACTGAAGCTGACTTTGGATCAGCTGCCAAGCATTTGCTCTCAAGCATTCACTCCGCACCCGGATGAGCGGATGCACGGATGAACAGCGCACAGGACGTCCCGCTCCGTAGTCGCGATGGGATATCAATGCATGCGCAGTCAAGCCCTGAATCTTTCTGCACGCAATCCGTTCAAATAGCTCCTCGAATGTTGCAATGTTACAGAATAATCCCGCATCTTCTGCACTTCCATGTCGCCGCCCACGAAATGGTTCGAAACGCCATATGCGCTCATCGACCTCCCGTCGCGACCAACGACTATCGACGACCCTCGCGCACCTGTGCGTGGCTGCCACGTTCAATCTAGCCGCATCTCTGCTCACTTCGCTCCCACTTTTCTGCAGGAATCAATCGTCGAAAATGTCGCGCGCAATATGGTCTTCGTGCACAACTTCCTCCTGCGGGGACTCAACAGCATATACGCACAAGCGCCATACGTCACCGCCCCAGACGTGCCCTCCTTCCTCAACTACATCAAAACTTGGACGGTCGCTCTGCAAGTGCACCACGACGGCGAGGAGGACCACCTCTTCCCGTTCATCGCGAAAGAGACGGGGCAGGGGGACTTGATGGCGGGGAATATCGCCGGGCACGCGGCGTTTCACGAAGGTCTGGATCGCTTCGTCGCTCTGGTGGCCGAGCTCCAGCAGGACGCGAGCAAGTACGATGGCAGGAGAATCGTGGAGGTCGTCGGCGCGTTCGGTGGATTGCTGAGGGATCATCTAGCGGACGAGATTCCAACACTGCTCGCGCTCGCACCGTACGGTGCGAGATTAGCTGCTGGCTTAGAGGCGGAAATGAGGCGAGATGGGATAGACAGCATGGTGAGCTTGCTGTCTTTGTGCTTTGACTGAACTGACTGGTGGTCACAGAGGAAGTGCGGTCTAACCCAGGGCGTCATTCAAATCTTTTGCCTCGATGATAACACCTGGGAGAATGGGGCGACCAGGGCGTTCCCTCCCATCCCATCACCAGTCGCTGTCGTGCTCCGTAGAGGCCTCTATCTCTTGCACCATGACTGGTGGAGATTCGCGTCGAGCGACCAGTTCGGGAATCCCAGAGCACAGCCTTACGCACGACCGCTGGCGAACTAATAAAATTGAAATGTGATACGTTATGTCAAGTTGCATACTTTGACTTCTGTTCAGGTCTCTGGTATACATCACTGCATGTCTTTGCCTTTTAGTGTTCGACCCATATGCTCAGATGCTCACTACGTATCTGCTACGAGCAGAAAGTATATATCGTGATGACTCCAATTCGTGAATTCCCGAGCATATGCGGATACAAGGGCCATAATATACAGTATCAACAAGCAAGACAGCACATGGATAAACTAGGATAACATCGCGTAGAACAGCAAGCAAAACAACGAGAGCGTATGGACAGAACAGCACAAAACGGTACTATAACAATAACGACAACGCAAAACAGCAGATACATGAAACGGACGTAGAGCACATAGCATAGAAGATTCGAAAACGTGATCACGAATGCGGCTCGGAAGGATGGCAGAAGTGAGGACAAGCTACAGCCATTGAATGCTTCGGGCCACTGAACCAAGTGCGCAAGGACTCTTGCAGATTCAGTGGCCATTTGCTGGAGAGAACCATGTTGGAAGGCGGCGAAGGACGCTTAGGCCGAGGCTGGAGTTCAGCGAGCCGCGCTGCCCGCTCGACAAACTTCGAGAACAAGCGGCGTTCCTTGGGCACAGGATGTGTCCTGCTGGAGGCAATCCCACGAAACTCGGCTCCCGGTCTCGGCCGCGGACTGGGCTTTCCTGTCGATTCGGGACTGGTGCGACACCCGAGTTCGTGCTTGAATGGCGCGTGGCACTGGACCCATTCTCGCAGCGCATCAGCGAGAGTCCTCAGTTTGCGATACTGTCGACGGGCGGGCGTGCGGGGATCAGACTCCTTGGCTGTGAGATGCTCGAAGTATTGGTCGGTGGGCATGTTTCCCGGGAGCGTTTGGGAGCGTTTGGGAGCATTCGCCTCGAGTTGCGCTCTGATTCGGGCACCTCCGTTAGAATTGAATTCATCCCATCGTTGTTGATGTCTTTCCCAAACAGCGGCCCGCTCCTTGTCCAGAGCTCGAGCAACTGCATCCGCGACCTCGCCGACGCTGATATCCTGGCTCGATGCTACAAGATCGATGATGCAGCGGGCCATCGACACCTGAGTGCCCTCCGAGTACGAAGTCAGCTGCGAATCTTCGCAAGACGAGATACAAAGGACATTCGCGGCGATAGGTCGTTTGTGGCCCATGACAGAGATGCCACGCTGAACTCTGCTGCGACAAGCTCCGTCGCATCCCGGGTAGGACAAAGCCGACAAGGGACTGCCGCATCTCGGCAGAGGTTCCCAGTGCGCGGGGTCGATCGAATGTGTGACGGGAATGTTCTCCTTGTCCAAAGACATCTGCCGGCTCGGGGAAACGACAGTGACCTCGGATGTTCTACGTCGAAGAGCACTCCGGTTAATAGTGGCGGAAGTTGATTTCGGCTCCTGGTTTGACCCAGGATTTGCATTACAATGTGTGTGTTCGATATCTGGGGCGATGATTCAGCGCGCGCACTCGAAGGCACCCAGCAAGCAAACATACCTAACAAAGTGCCGGAGTGACATGAGTCCAAGATCGCCACCAGAAAAGAGTCTTTCGGCAGCGGGACCACCAGATAACGATTCAAAATCTAAGCGAGGTCAGTATCCAGACATGAATAAGTTGATAAAGAGCGAGTCGTACATTATCGATTATCATCCTTCCATCACGGGTGATCAAGACTTCATCCATGTCGTCTTCTTCAGTCCCACGCGCATTGTAAGTCTGAGCAGTGTGGCCTGCGTCTGAAAATATGTGAATTAGCGGCGAAAGAACTCTCCTGGGTTGATCGACACGCACAGAAGAAACAGACACGGTCCCCAGATCGTACTCGCGTGCCCAGAGCCCGGATTTCGCGCAACTGGGAGGGAGATCAGCAACAAGCTGGAAGAAAAGTGTTACGCGAGTAACGCACAACATTGTTGTGCGTGGGGACGATAGACCCTGCTTTTCCGTCGTCCATCAAGCGGATGATGTTTTCGGGTGGGTATCCGTGTCTGTTCTGCAGGTCAGGACATGTAGAACCCCACGGAAGGACTTACACAGTTGTGAGGACGTCATAAAGCTTCTCCGCGTCCTCATGGATGCCAGGTAGCGGAGGATACTTCTCAGCCACGACCGGTGCTTCACCGGGCCGCAAGGCCATGACGTCGGAGGGGATTTCGAGCGATGCAGAATCACGAATGGCGATGATCATGCCCCATTTCTTCCCGGTGGAGGGCGGAGAGGGAGGCGACGGGACGGTCGGGGGGTCACCTTCGAGCTGTCCAAGTGCGTGGACAGGCTGTGCCATGGCCACGGCACTCGCGCCAGCGAGGCTTTGCATGGGGTAGGAGGGGCGTCGAGAGGGAGTCGGTGGCATGCTGTAGAGGGACTGTATCGATGAAAAGAGAGGGGGGATGAGATGCCTCCCTCTCTTTTTATCTGAGGGCAGTGCAGTAGCAGTATGCGCTACCGCATCTGTTCCGATGTATGTTTTGAGGCAAGGTTGCGCGGAGGGATACGGGCTGATTTACAGCAAATCTCCAATGCACAGCAGAGGAACCGGATGCGGGGGGCGGACGAGTCACTTAGAAGGCTGTGGAAGTAGCGAACGCACGAATTGGTGGCGTAGACCGAGCAGAAGATGGTGTTTGGGTTCCCGCTGATCATGATCTAATCTGGTACTTCCAGAGTCATGTGCCGTCCAGCCCGAGAAATATCGCGAGGATGTGTTTCTCCGGTATCCTTGTGAGTACATTCCTGCAGACAGCATATAGTCCCACAATCGACTCCTTCAATTGTAGGTTGCAGAACCCAATGGCTTGACTTGAAGCATACCATGTACTTCGTAGTTCGGCGCTCGAATCCTCGATCGGATGATACGCGCCGCCAGTGTGCTGAGCATGATGCAAAGTGGCCCGATAACACATTCAATGGGTGTGTGCGAAATCCACATCTACATAAGAACATTCTCAAATTGCCAGGGATCATCTCTGTCCGGCTCTCCGGTCCACAGCGCATCGTCTCCTCTGCCTGCCAGCGGCGTCCAATCAGTGTACGCGCCATGCAAAATACCCAAATACTCTCGCTGTACCTCCAGGCACCGCTGGAAGTCCATGTCGTCCGCTTCAACAATCCCCATCTCCGGATTCTCGAGCATCCAGACGATCCCCGCGAGCACAGCACTGCTCACTTGCAGTCCGGTCGCGTTTTGATTCGGCACAAGCTGTTTCGCCTCGTCAATGGACAGCGTGCTCCCGAACCAGTACGCGTTGAGAGCGTGGCCGTAGAGCAGAACTCCGAGGGAGTCGACACCCCCAGGGAGGATGTCGTCGGGACCGAGGATATGAGACTTTGATTGCGGCTTCCAGGCTCGGCCGGCAAGCTCATTCAAGCTCAAGACCGCACACTCCGCCGGGTGGTACGCGTAATGACACGTCGGGCGATACAAGACTCCTGGCTCCCGAACAGTGAGGTAGTCGGAAATGCTCAACGCCTCCGTATGCGTCTGCAGGAACGCAACCTGCGGCCCGGAGGTGGGTGTCCAGCTGCGGATCCGGGTGGATGCCCCAGGCTGGGCAAGGTAGATAGCTAGATCCGGTGCGCTGCCACCGATGTCGTGCATGTGTCCGTTGTGCGGCAGGCGCTTCTCGTGGGTTCCCCAGGCAAGTTCGGCTGGCTGCAACGCCTCGGAAAGGAAGCCTTCCACCGACCAGGTGTTAGTGAACACCCCCATTTCCTTCGGCGTCTTCGGCTGCTGGGTGTCCCGCTCTGCGATGTGGATCCCCTTGACACCTAGACTCATGGCCAGTTCCGCCCATCCCTCCCGCGTCGTCGGCTGCGCGGCGGGGTGTCCAGTGTCACGAGCGATATCAACCAGTGCTTGCTTCACAAGCCAAGAAACCATCCCCGGGTTAGCTCCACAGGCGGAGACAGCTGTCGGACCACCTGGCCGGCGAGAACGAAGGTCGATCAGTGTCTCTCGAAGAGCGTAGTTCGACCGCTCGGACATCGAAAGGTCTGGATCGTAGTAGAAGCCGGGCCAAGGTTCGATGACAGTGTCGATATACAGCGCGTTGATGTCCTTGCACATCTCCATGAGTGCTACGGACGAGACATCGACCGAGAGATGGATGAGAAGGCCGCCGTTTGAGACGAGTGGAGTGAGCACGTCCAGATAGTTCTCCTGTGTCACGGCCAGCTGAACGAAGCGCATGCCACGCTCGGTGACGAGATGGCGGCCAGAGTCGTCGGGATCGATGACGGTAACTTTGCTCTTGTCCAGCGCAACATGGCGGTTAAGCAACGGGAGAAATCCGCGGCCGATAGAACCGAATCCTACGATCACGACTGAGCCGTCGAACTTGGAGTGGATGGCCATATGTATCGTCCCGTGCGACCGAGGATCT